GTAAAATCTCTTAGAACTTGGATAATATAAATATAACTTGGATAATATAACGCCATTTTTTTTTCTTAGAAAAATCCAGCGCCTTGTTTCTGCTACACAGAAAGTGCACAAAGGAAAATTTCTCAAATCAATAAATTGGATATGCTTCCTAAATGTTAGAAATCACGTTTCGAATTTCAGAATCTTTAAATATAATCTGCAATACTGTTGACCGATTTCTGTTTTATATACATATCAGTATACCCTATGTTAAAAATTTAACAATAAATTTTTATGATTTAATAATAAATTTTAATTTTAAATAATAAATTCTTTTTGTTCAGATAATTTGTTCGTGGACCATGCTGTTCGAGAAGCGAGGAGTTTGTGATCCGAGGTTCCACAGTAATTGTATTTAGAAACCAATTTACATTTAGGTTAGTATATAAAATGATTTCTCAGCATTTAAATTTTAATCCATTTCATTAAAATCGCGTTTAATTCCAGGTCTTCTCTTTCTTGAAAGAATTTTGCCGTCAATAGAATTAAATAATTTTTTAAAACCATTTTAACGAAAGGGAGAGTATCTGAATGAGAAAATGTAACTATTTGTCGAATATATCTATAAAATCGCAAACGAATGGAAGCCAAAGGCAGAAGACAGCAAGAGAAGTTACCTTTCATAAAATTTTAGAATAATGCCAAGGTCACTTTAAAAATAACCTGTGGTTTTCTGTCTTCTTACGTTACGCAGCAGATGATATGCAGTTTCATCTATACGGATCGACAAAGTTACAAATTTTACCACTATGTTCAACAAATGTTATTCTCCGCATAGTAATGTTCAAACGATGTCAGACGTAGTGGATGCAGTCGGAACTTTACTCCAAATAATAATTTGGAACTAAGGAAGCAGAAAATTAAGGGAAATTTCCATAGCAGTGTCAGATGCAGGAAAAAAAAAAAAACCCCCCCCCCAAAAAAAAAAGTTTGAAAGAAAGAGATAAGGATATTGTGTGTCGCATTAATAAAATACCTTTGCACTGAAAGAATAATTTGACGAAAATCGTTACAGATAACGAATTTTTTCAGCATATTTTGAAGTTTCCTAGGGGGCTGAATTGCAATATAATTCATTGAAAAAAGCTCGTTGCATAATAAACGATTAATTAATGTTTCCTACAAAATTTTCAGGGCATCATTTTTAAACAATCATTTCTTGTGGCATGTTATAGGTCCACGAATTTTAAGTACGCAGTATTTGGACAGAATTTCATATTCGTTTTCGGAATTTTATTGCATTCCCATTATAGAATAATTTGTTTTTATTAGTATCTTTAACTAGAACACGTAAAGCCCTTTCTATTGTGTAATTTGTATGTGCATTGTATGTTAGATTAAATAATATTAACGACGAAAGTATAAATTATAACGTACGATAAAGCGTATAACTGTAGAAAACAAACCCAAGTAGAACATTATTATCCTGCAATAAACAGACAGAAAAAAAAAGTACAAATAGCTTTTTTAACTTTTTAATTGAATATACGTATTTTTACACTTTTAATTCTGTAAATCGAATTTCTATGAAATGAACTAAGGTATAATTAATGATATTATCATTTATTTTGCAATTAAATTCCGTATTTCAGTATTAAATAATTTATGCTATGTGCTTTGTAATCACAATGACAAGGACCTGATGTTTGCTGGAGAAAGCCTCGTTCGTTTTTTAACAAGAGATTTCATACAGTGTTCATAAAAGAAGACAAGCTGTATTTCCTTAAATTTCGTTTCTACGCATTTACATCCCGTTACTTTCTTAAAATTAGGCAGCAAATTTAATGAAATCAGTTTCAGCATTTTAGATGACAGGGTTTCGTGAGTGTAACTCTTAAAATTTTATAAGGTAATCTCAGAGAAATATTTTAATAAGCTAGACAAAAAGCTTTCCATACATTTACGTGCAGAATTCTCAAAGATGTGAGTAATTAGCAAGTTCATAAGGAAAACGACAAATTTAGTAAGGAGCGCTATTTTACACAGTATGAGATTATTAATCATCAAAAGCTAGTAAATTTATTTTGTATTTCCTCTCAAAGTTTACCTGAAAAATGTCAAATTCTGATGGGTAATAAAAACAATCTATTTAATAAATTATTCCTCGAAAGTTTTCAGGCCTTTTTTCTGCAAAACCATGGAACGCTTTTAAGTCATTAAAGAATAATAAATATTTTATTAATTTGAAGTTTTGCTTCATGGGAACATTTAAAAAGTCTTTTTTTATTATTATTATTATTTGCGGAAAGCTTTGATCCTCAGTGTCGAAACCGTTTCATAAAATTCATACCTTAGTTCGAGAAGCTTTGTTATTAGGAGCTCATATCTAGGATGACTTTTCAAATAAATAAAGCTTTTAGACACTTTCTTCGAACATCCTATTTTGATGTAAGTGGAAGAGCAACACTCCGATATAAAGCGAAAAATTGGGTTGGGGGCTGAAGATAGAGGTCTTCAATCGGAGTAATTTTAAATCGAACTCTGTGAATATGGAGAAAGATCAGGCAACGTTTTCTTTTCTTTTTTGCTCCTGAAGAAAGGGAACCTATATCAGATCACACGACAGAGCTCTATTTAAATCTATAATAAACTAAGTTCCCCTACCCTTTCTTTTGCCTTATTTTCCCCCCTGCATAAGTATGAATATCATATGAGTCGTTTTATTTTAATTTGATGGACGTGAAATAGTTTATTCAGTTGTATGTTTGCCAATAAAAAGTATAGTTGCAGTTTGGATGCTATAATGCTCATTTATTTAGCACAGAACATGCTTGAACTGCTTGAAAAAGTGAGACTAAATTTCCATATCTGCTGAAGATAGATTCCCATATCTGCTGAGACTGGAGTCTTCATATTTTCAACTGGTTACGTACATATTGTCCAGTTGCATTAAATGGAAATGCTATTTTATTATTCGCTTCGCGATTCGCTTAGTGGAAGCTTTACAAGATATACTCAAATGCACAAATATATATTGAAGAGATATTAGGATATTTTTTATGCTGAAGACGTGAAAAACTGAGCAATGCCGTCTCCGGAAGTCGAACCTCAATCTCTCGAATACGCGCCGAATGTGCTACCGTCACACCATGAAGGCATGCACAAAGGCAGGAGAAAATACCTTATATACTGCCCCTTTTAAAGGACGACAGGAGATTAGGGGACCCAGTAGTCAAATGCTGGTGGTGAAGAATCATCATCCACCATCTTTTAGTTCAAGCGCCACTATAGATTTATTAGGATATTTTTGATGCTCGAGACGCAAAATATGAGAAATGTCCTCGCCGGGAGTCGAACGTGGACCTTTCCAATGTGCTCCGAGTGTGCTACAGTTACACCACGAAGGCATGCACAAAGGCGGGAGAAAATACCTTATAATATAAGTGGCACAATAAAAGGTACAGTAAGACTGATCAAGAAACTTCTTTCACAAGCGGGTAAAAATATTTGAATAAAGACAAAGCCTTGCTAAACTAATAGGCGCCTGTTTTTTTTTTTTTTTTTTTTTTTTTTTTTTTTACTTCATTGGCAAATTTTCAATGCCTAGAGCAATTCTTAAAATCTTAAAATATTGAAATAATTGTAGAATCATTGGGTATTTTTTGGAAGCAGGAGATGTGAAAAATGAGCAACGCCTTCGTTGGGAATCGAACCACGGACCTCTGGAACACGCGCGCCAAGCGTGCAGAACACTACACTACGAAGGCGTGCTAAGAAGGCGGGAGAAATACCTTATACTATAATGAATAAATGATGCTAAAGGAAGCAAATACTGCGTCATGCTTCATATTTTAATGCAAAAGTTATTAAGGCGGGAATAAAATTTTACACATAACTATGGAACAATTCCAGGGAGAGAGAGCTATCTAATTGCGAAATAAACAATTAATGGTTAAAAGTTTTCCAGATAGCTTATGTAAGTTGGGATTGTGAAAGCAGATAGGCAGTTCTTCTATAGAAGTGTAATTACAAGTAAACCAGCACTATGTTGTCCACAAGGTTGGCCAAAAATTCTATTTTGTGCGTTTTAATAGTTTCTCTCACTTTAGAATAGTTCCTAATAAAATTTAGTTGATTACTTTTCACTCTGTCACTGCATAGTTTAATTTAATTTCCTTGCGTTAATTGAGGATGAAATCTATTCATTCTGATCAAACATTTTGAAAGTATAGTTTAAATGTCGTTAAATAAGAGAAATCATGTTATGAGATCAAGTTTAGGTGGCAGAAACCTCCGGTAATGCATACAAACCATTTCATTCTCTTTTCTGACTTAGCTTATGTCTATTTATGTGTTTAAAGTTTAAAGAGATAAATATAGCTTTAAGTATGTAGATATACATAACTGCGTACGTACACAATACATTGATCTATGACTAAACCAAAGCAATTATATCACATAAACAAGCTGACTGTAAAAAAACACCGGAAATAATTTATATTTATTTAAATTAAAAATTCTGGTTTTTAAATAGCTTAAATCAATCTTCTGCAAACATTATTAAATCAGTACTGAGTTTTCGTATATGGGATGTAAATTATAAATAAGATTTAAAATCTCTGTATTCTTCAATTCATATAAAAGCACTATCCTTGAAATAGTCCTTTATAAATTATGCTGTTACTGCGCAGAAAAATTACTTCGGTTTAATTACTTTTAAGGATAATTACGATAATTTATTGAAGTGGCAGATTATCCTGAGTTACACTGTAACATTAATCTTTATATACATGCACAATCCCTCTATACAGACATACACATGTAGGTACTGAAGTTATTGTTAATATTCTATTATAACTATAAAATCAATGAAATCGTAAGTTATGTTAAACGCCACATTGAAGATTATAAGTTGACAAGTAAGGGAAAAAAATTCAAGTTCACCTGGAGTATTGCAGAAATGCAGTATACATATGCTTTCAAGCAAATTAATAAGACAGCTCAGAGAATAAACAACTTACCTACGTATTCATTTGCATCCAAACGCTTCAACAGCGTTTAGTATCGAAGACCGAGGGTCACCGGCCACATCTGTTGTTCGGTTCTCCTTTGCAAGTGGTAGTCTGTTCCACTTGGCCCACCAGATAGGTCGGCGACCGGATCGGCCAGTTCGACTTCTATTCACCTCCCCTCACGCCTCCCGCGCTTTAACCCCATGTCAAAATCTAGCAATAGCAAGCTTCAGAAGGGATCAGTCCGGTTTTAACACTTCGGAGGAGTGTCTGCTGTTGACGTAACAAATACTTCAAAATAACGCTTCATTTTACCTTCGTCTCGTTTACATTCTTTATGTTTAGGAAGGGTATTTATTTACATTCTTTATGTTTAGTAAAGCTGAAAAAGGATCGCTGAACTATAAGATTATAAAACTATTAAATGTTTACTTGTTCGGTATTAGTAAAAGGAAGATTGAAAAAGTTAACATTTTCAAGAACTGATGTTTCAGGCTTATTGTATACATATTTATGTATAGAACTGTAGCGGATTCCTTTATTATGTCATAAAGAAGCGGAAATATTTCGAGAGAGGTTACTCTAAACAGCCAAATTTAATCATTCGCATAGCATAAATGTAGATAAATAACTATAATTGAAATTTTACAAATGATAGTTGAAACCTATATAAAAATGCAAATATGATATCTAAATTTAAGAAATAAGTCTCGAAATCACACATACGTGCCTTTTGCTTTTGAGAAGCAGCTTGATGTCCTCAATAATTTTCCTTTCTATATTACTGAAGAAAATTGCTCAGATGCTGTTATTATATAAAATTGGACTGCACTTTTTTCTCTGTTTTGAAAGATGAAACTTACCAACAATTAAGTTTGCACTAAATTAAGGTAAATTTTATCAATGCTTTACAGTAAGGAAAGAAATCCTATACTGCTAAAACACTACGTCAAACATGTAGTTAGTTTTCTGCCCCCCCCCAAAAAAAAATTATACAATACTGACCTATAGAGAGAGCTTTGTATCATTTTTGATTGGATGCAACAAACTAAATTAATAAATGGTTTTCAGGAAATAGCACCCTCTTATTTCGCTAAAGCTTAAATTACTCTAATTATTAACATACGAATTTTACACCATAATGAAGGAAATGGAAAATAATGTTAAAGAAACGTTTCCCAATGAGCTTTTACTAATGAGTCTGAGAAGAAAAAATATTTACAAAAAAAGTTATGGACTAATTCGCAAAATTACCACAAGACTAGTTCACTTCATTAAAAGTTACAACTGCAAGTATCTTTTACTGCCACTTCTTTGGTTGCAGAATCTCCATTGTAGTAAGGTAGGGGTGAAAATTTCCAATACAGTAATTTTATCGTGGGAGAAAAAGGGCAGAATCCACAGGAACGGCGAAGGGTAAGTAGTAAAATTGGCGAAATTTCCGTGATGATATTTCCACTAACTTTTAGGATAAAATTTATAATCGAAAACGAAACAATAGCACAAATAACTAATACATATTTACTTGAATATAAGACCTCCCCCTTCTTTTCTTTTTCTCTCCTAAAATTTGACAGTATTTTAGAAATCAATTACATAAATTGTATGTATTATAAAATTTGTAGTTCGGACAAAATTTCGAATCCAATCGTACGGGCTGGCTCCATGGGTTTTTTTCGTGATTTTCCGCATGTGTATCGTGTAAGCAGTATCTTCTGAAAGCATACGAGAACAAAGCGGGCGCAGCCCGCGCAAAACCGATGAACACTGGTAGTTCGGTCCAACTTTCGAATTCCCGCCAGCGGGATGGCTTCATGAGTGTTTTCTTGATTTTCCGCATGTGTAACGTGTATGCAGTATATTATGACTGCATACCTTAATAAAGCGGGATCAGCCCAGGTAAAATCGATGTACACCGGTAGTTCGGTTCAACTTTCAAATTCAGGTGAGCGGGCTGGCTGCATGGATGTTTTGGTGATTTTCCGCATGTGTATAGTGTATGCAGTATTTTCTGGATTCATAGGTCAATAAAGCGGGCGCAGCCCGCTGAACACTGGTAGTTCGGTCTAACTTTCGTATACCCGCGAATGGGCTGGCTGCATGGGTGGCTTCGTGATTTTAGGCATGTGTATCGTGTATGCAGTATATTCTGGTTGCATATGTGAATAAAGCGGGCGCAGCCCGCCCAAATCCGCTGGACACTTGTAGTTCGGTCCAACTTTCGAATCCCGGTGAGCGGGATGATTGCATGTGTGTTTTCGTGATTTTCCGCATGTGTATCGTGTATGCAGTGTTTTTCAGGATGCATATGTGAATAAAGCGGACGCAGAAAGCGCAAAAACGCTGAACACTGGTAGTTCGCTCCAACTTTCGATCCCGACGAACGGGCTGTCCAACTTTCGAATAAAGGCCAATAACAGCGGGCTTCAGCCCGCTCAGCTGGCGGGCTTGCCCGCTAATATGTATTATAAAATTTGTTAAAAAATATTGATGAAGGAAATTCCAGATTGAAAGGATAGCGTTTAATTATCATACTGTATGGAATAAATACACCGTTAAATACTAAATAAATCATATAAATAATTACCTTACAGCTCTTTCTCAGAATTACTGTAAGGCAAAATGAAGTGCACACCCACATTTTTATTTCTTAAAATTTTTCTCAAATAAAAGTTGGGATTTTTATTTCGAGTTAATACAGTAATTAAGTAAAAACTATGTTAGACATTTTTAACTTTACGTTAAACATTTATAAGCAATCAAATTCTGGAAGCGACTTCAACAACTTCATTATAAGCAATCAATTCTATTTTAGATCAAAATTATCATTTAATTGGACGACGTTTTTTGTACATTATACTGTACATGTACAGATTTTCTTCGTTAAATGCATCATTTTTAAAAAAGGATTGTGCATAACGAAGTGATTTCTTTGCATTGATAGAAAACGGAAGACAATTTTTTCTCTTATTAATGGAGTCGAGCAAAACTTGGGTTAGTTCAATCTTCTCGTTTGGATTTTGTAGTAGAATTTCTCTGCATCATATTTTCGCGGCAATTCTGATAAAGAGTAAAACAAAAATTATTTAAATATTAAAGTCGAACAACTGTACTAGAAATTAAAAAAATGATAGGAAAAAAAAAAAAAAACCCCGAAATTCACGTATTTATTGGACATTTGCTAAAAAATCATTTTTCTCAGAAAATTCTCGACAAAATTAGCAGAACTTCATACCACGATATACAAGCCTAAATATGTTAATACAGTGGTTTCCAATTTGTGCGGTGTGACTTCTTCACAGGCGCGCCGCTCAACAATGGCTTAATTGAGCCAGGGTATTTAGCCTCAAAATTAAAGTGCGAAAACTAAAAATTTCTATATTTTTTCGTGTGGTTTCTTTATACTTGACCCTGTATAAAAGTAAGGTCACCGGAGCATCATATTCTTTTCACGTGAGCTGCAGAGATTAATTTCTTATATTCTGGAAGATCTAGTGAAAAGCATATAAGCAAGCATTGTCGATTCAGTCAGTTGGCTGAATCGAGCCGGCAATGCTTGCTTATATGCTTTCTACTAGTGACTACTAGTAAAATTAAACTCAGCGCTTCATATAAATTAGTTCATGTAGTGATATAAATTAATATTCTATTACTTCTTGTTTGTTGTCTTTGATAAATAATTTTGAGACTTTTTGCTCTTGTATCTTCAATGATGGACCGATTTTTGAACAGTAGTAAACGCAATAGTGCAGATAAAGAAAGTATGTCTTCAACCAGTGGCACGACCATGAAGAAATGAAGAAACGAAAATATCGTAAATTTGATTACTGTTATTTATAGTTTGGTTTCACATCAACAGAAATGCTTGGGGAAGAGAAACTACAATGTGAACTATGTGCGAAAATTCTGGCAGCGAAATGTATGCTTTTAAGTAAACTGAAGTGCAATTTAGAAGCTAATCAGGACAGCATGGTTTTCAAACCTCGTAATATTTTTGCCAGGAAGTTAAAGGAACTGAAACAACAACAACAAAAAAAAAAAAAAAAAAAAAAAAAACACGAGAAATTATAAAATTTATCACATTCACCGCACATTCTAACATCCGATTCAGTTCAGGACTCAGATGTTTTGACGCAAGTGCTTCTTTATGAATAATGCAATTTAGAAGCTAATCAGAACAGCATGGTTTTCAAACCTCGTAATATTTTTGCCAGGAAGTTAAAGGAACTGAAACAACAACAACAACAATTTTTTTTTTTTTTTTTTTTTTTTTTTTTTTTTTTTTTGAGACTGCATCAATACTAAATAACATTTTATTAGCATCTTAGCAGAATATAAGAATCCCATATCATCGCAGAAGAACTTATTCTACCGGTTGCTGATATGGTGAGCATTCTGGTTGTAGAGTTTGTTGAAAAGCTGCTTTTAAAAGTGTATATGTCCAGTAATGCAATTAGTCGGAGAATACAACATATGGCGGAGGGTATCAATGATTAATTGGATATGCTATGTATGGTTTACAGATGGTAATAATATAAAAGAAAACTGTCTATTTTGTAAAAATATCACTGCAGAAACAAAAGATCAGGACCTGTTTGAGATTCTTGATACATTCATATCTGAAAATAATTTGAATTGGCCTAAGTGCGTTGGTGTGTGTACTGATGGAGCTCGCTCCATGTCTGGCTGCTGTTGAGGATTACAAGTATAAATTCGAAGGAAATCACCAAATGCCACTGTAGACACTTTGCATTATTCATAAAGAAGTACTTGCGTCAAAACATCTGAGTCCTGAACTGAATCGGATGTTAGAATGTGCGGTGAATGTGGTAAATTTTATAATTTCTCGTGTATTAAAAGTAAGGTTTTTAAAAAACTGTGTGAAGATGAGGAAACTGAGCACTCGTCTTTGTTGTACTGTACACGATGACCAGGGGCGTTCCTAGGCCATTGGCTGCCCGCGTACTTTCTTAAGATTGCTGTCCCCAAATTAAAAAGGAAACGTGCTCAGTGATTAATTAAATTTTTATTTCATATTCACTAAGTACTCACATGTGACAAATTGTATAAAATGTACTTACATATGATAAGTAATTACAATGAATTTAATGAATTAAAAATATTTTAGCATGATATCCAACCCGAGAATCCGGTCGTCCCTGTTTT